CGTTTCTTGATGCGCATTCGTGTCCTCGAACTGTAGCGGGTATTTTCATGATCGCTGTTGGAAACCAATTTTGACCATGTTCGGGTCCGAATTTGGAAATTTGACATTAGACAGGAATTGTAGCCAGCTCAAATAGCTTTCTAATGACGCAAGAACCAGTCGATTTGGAGTCCGGATGAGAAAGTTATGCTCGACTTCGTGGACGCTACCGAAGATGTTGAGGGATCCTCTCTTCTATTTTGATATATATTTTCCTAATTGCAACACTTTTCTTACTCTTTGATCATTTTTGCTTCATGGACACCTAATTATCAATTTGTACCTATAGAATACTAAATCCACCAATTAAAAAGAAATATAAATTAATCCATAAAAAAATCCACGTAAACGTAAACGTTGAGTGTTATTTCTACACTCCACTGTATCTTTTGTATCTTGTGTTTTTGTTGTTGTTTGGTTATGCGTATTAAAGTCCTCGTCTTGTACTTCGTGTTTTTAAGAACGTTGTTGCGAATGCACTTTTGCGCATGTTTTTTTACATGTACATTTGTGCATGTCCATTTGAGCGAGTGTGTTTGTGCATGTTTGTTGATTTGTATTAGTGTCCTAGGATTGTAGTTTGCGTTTTCATGATCCTTTTTGCGAATGCAGTTTTGCGTGAGTAATTTTGTGCATGACTTTGTACTTTTACTTATGTGCGTATCTTTTGTAGCGAGTGTTTTTGTGCACGTTTCTTGATGCGCATTCGTGTCCTCGAACTGTAGCGGGTATTTTCATGATCGCTGTTGGAATCCAATTTTGACCATGTTCGAGTCCGAATTTGGAAATTTGACATTAGACAGGAATTGTAGCCAGCTCAAATAGCTTTCTAATGCCGCCGGAACCAGTCGATTTGGAGTCCGGATGAGAAAGTTATGCTCGACTTCGTGGACGCTACCGAAGATGTTGAGGGATCCTCTCTTCTATTTTGATTTTATTTTCCTAATTGCAACTCTTCTCTTACTCTTTGATCATTTTTGCTTCATGGACACCTAATTATAAATTTGTACCTATAGAATACTAAATCCACCAATTAAAAAAGAAATATAAATTAATCCATAAAAAAATCCACGTAAACGTAAACGTTGAGTGTTATTTCTACACTCCACTGTATCTTTTGTATCTTGTGTTTTTGCTGTTGTTTGGTTATGCGTATTAAAGTCCTCGTGTTGTACTTCGTGTTTTTAAGAACGTTGTTGCGAATGCACTTTTGCGCATGTTTTTTTACATGTACATTTGTGCATGTCCATTTGAGCGAGTGTGTTTGTGCATGTTTGTTGATTTGTATTACTGTCCTAGGATTGTAGTTTGCGTTTTCATGATCCTTTTTGCGAATGCAGTTTTGCGTGAGTAATTTTGTGCATGACTTTGTACTTTTACTTATGTGCGTATCTTTTGTAGCGAGTGTTTTTGTGCACGTTTCTTGATGCGCATTCGTGTCCTCGAACTGTAGCGGGTATTTTCATGATCGCTGTTGGAATCCAATTTTGACCATGTTCGAGTCCGAATTTGGAAATTTGACATTAGACAGGAATTGTAGGCAGCTCAAATAGCTTTCTAATGCCGCCGGAACCAGTCGATTTGGAGTCCTGATGAGAAAGTTATGCTCGACTTCGTGGACGCTACCGAAGATGTTGAGGGATCCTCTCTTCTATTTTGATTTCATTTTCCTAATTGCAACTCTTTTCTTACTCTTTGATCATTTTTGCTTCATGGACACCTAATTATCAATTTGTACCTATAGAATACGAAATCCACCAATTAAAACAGCAATATAAATTAATCCATAAAAAAATCCACGTAAACGTAAACGTTGAGTGTTATTTCTACACTCCACTGTATCTTTTGTATCTTGTGTTTCTGCTGTTGTTTGGTTATGCGTATTAAAGTCCTCGTGTTGTACTTCGTGTTTTTAAGAACGTTGTTGCGAATGCACTTTTGCGCATGTTTTTTTTACATGTACATTTGTGCATGTCCATTTGAGTGAGTGTGTTTGTGCATGTTTGTTGATTTGTATTAATGTCCTAGGATTGTAGTTTGCGTTTTCATGATCCTTTTTGCGAATGCAGTTTTGCGTGAGTAATTTTGTGCATGATTTTGTACTTTTACTTATGTGCGTATCTTTTGTAGCGAGTGTTTTTGTGCACGTTTCTTGATGCGCATTCGTGTCCTCGAACTGTAGCGGGTATTTTCATGATCGCTGTTGGAATCCTATTTTGACCGTGTTCGGGTCCGAATTTGGAAATTTCACATTAGACAGGAATTGTAGCCAGCTCAAATAGCTTTCTAATGCCGCCGGAACCAGTGGATTTGGAGTCCGTATGAGAAAGTTATGCTCGACTTCGTGGACACTACCGAAGATGTTGAGGGATCCTCTCTTCTATTTTGATTTTATTTTCCTAATTGCAACTCTTTTCTTACTCTTTGATCATTTTTGCTTCATGGACACCTAATTATCAATTTGTACCTATAGAATACTAAATCCACCAATTAAAAAAGAAATATAAATTAATCCATAAAAAAATCCACGTAAACGTAAACGTTGAGTGTTATTTCTACACTCCACTGTATCTTTTGTATCTTGTGTTTTTGCTGTTGTTTGGTTATGCGTATTAAAGTCCTCGTGTTGTACTTCGTGTTTTTAAGAACGTTGTTGCGAATGCACTTTTGCGCATGTTTTTTTACATGTACATTTGTGCATGTCCATTTGAGCGAGTGTGTTTGTGCATGTTTGTTGATTTGTACTAATGTCCTAGGATTGTAGTTTGCGTTTTCATGATCCGCCGGAACCAGTCGATTTGGAGTCCTGATGAGAAAGTTATGCTCGACTTCGTGGACGCTACCGAAGATGTTGAGGGATCCTCACTTCTATATTGATTTCATTTTCCTAATTGCAACTCTTTTCTTACTCTTTGATCATTTTTGCTTCATGGACACCTAATTATCAATTTGTACCTATAGAATACGAAATCCACCAATTTAAAAAGAAATATAAATTAATCCTTAAAAAAATCAACGTAAACGTAAACGTTAAGTGTTATTTCTACACTCCACTGTATCTTTTGTATATTGTGTTTTTGCTGTTGTTTGGTTATGCGTATTAAAGTACTCGTCTTGTACTTCGTGTTTTTAATAACGTTCACTACAAGAAAAACTAGTTTCAGTGACCAAATTCTCAGCGACCATAACTAAATGGTCACTGAATGTTCACATTTAGTGACCAAAAGTAATTTTGTAGCAAAAGTGGGAAGGGTTAAATCGTGTTGCGACCAGCTAACATTTGGTAGCTATAAGTGGTCACTAATAGTTAGACATCTTGTAGCAACTAAAGTTAAAGTTTGTAGCGACAATTTTTATGGTCACTATAACTTAATGACAATAGTGACCAATTCAACATCAATTTTTTTTACGGTTGCTACGAGTCTTTAATTTAATTATTAACAACCATCTAATTGGGTTGCTAGCAACCACTTGAATTTGGTTGCTATGAAACTACTTACGAAAATCAAATCGATTTGGTCACTAGTTTAGTTTTAAACAAATCAAGAAAAGAAAAGAAAATAAAAGAAAGATGGGGGGCGAAAATACAAATAATGAAAAAATACAGCCATATCTTTCTTCGTTTCTTCATCGCTCTATTTTTCTCTCCGCTCTCTTTCTCTCTCGCCTTCTCTCTCCTTCTCCCTCTCGGTTCTTGGCTGAAATTCCAGAAATTAATTGGAGAAAATTCGAATTCAAGAAGGGGTTTGAAGAAGTGAGGTATATGAAACAAATTTGAGGTTGGAATTGCAAATCCCCAATTCAATTATCGACAAAATTAGGGCTGTGTGAACGAGGGGTTATGACGATCAAGTCACATCGTTGGGAAGTCAGCTTTCCAGTGGTGGTGGCCTCCAGCGGTGGTTACATCAGACGGTGGCCGGAATCGGGCGAAGAAGACGACTAGCTGTCCAGAAATCGAATTCAAGTTACATCAGATGCTTCTTCTTCTCTCCTTTTTCTGTTTCTCACTATTCAATTATTCCCATTCATTTCATACGCTCCATCCTGAAAACCCTTGTGCCCCAAATCCAAAATTAGGTTTTGTTTCGTCCCCCACAGTGAATCGGGTCGATGGCCTCGTTCGATGAAGCTCCTCCCGGCGATGTCAAATCCGGCGACAAGATCTTCAGGACTAAGTGCGCTCAGTGCCACACCGGCGCCGGCCACAAACAAGGTTTTCCTCCCCCTTTCTAATTCATTATTCAATCGGAATTGTAGTTATTTTTATTTTATTGATCTTCTCTTGCCGATGTACTGGAATTTAAATTTGATATATTCGCTGGATTTTCTTTTTCCTTTCATCAAATCGGTATTTTGATGTTAACTTGGCTTGATTTTTCGTAAATTGTATGTTTGGCTGAGATCTAAGTTTGTCTCTGTTTTTAGATGTGATAATCCAAAAAAAAACAATTGTTCTTGGCACCCAGCAAATTGTATATTGATAATTTGTTTATTTGATCGTGTTTTATTTTCTCTATTTGGTACTGTGTAATTATTTAGGTGATTTTGTTCCACAATTTTTTCCTTATGCAAGAATATTCTCATGTCTTGTCAATTTCAGGTCCCAACTTGAATGCTCTTTTCATAGGTGCAGCGTGCATACAAGGTGTTTGATAAAATACTGGAACCAGACTCCAACTTTGGAGTGCAAAAACATTTTTTCAATTGGTTCGAAAAGTCGTTTCTTTAACAAGTCATTTCGGTTTTTTCTTGCATGGATTAATCTGTGATGAATTGACGATGGATCAAGCATCGGCTATTAAGGTTAGCTGCCATTTTCATGAGCATGTGCTTTACTAGTTTTCATGTCTCTGTACTCGAAATCGTAAAATGTTGGAATATTTTGATGCTCGGTTTTTATAAGCTTGATCGAAAACTGAAAAAAAAAGAACAGAAAACCTGCTGCCGCACCGGAACTTTAGGGAAAGAAAACCTGCTGCCGCACCTGTTTTCGGAGCAGAATTTGGAGGGTTTGGAGTGCGAATTTGGGAATCATTCCTTGACGAAACTCGTAGAGGACCTCGAAAACTATTGGTAAGTGTAAAATTGTATTGAGTTAGAGTATGTTTTGAAGCTGATTAGTGGTCCGAATTATGTGACTTTAAATCTGTAAAAACAGGGCAGTTTTGAATATTCTTCTTACGAGGCCGTTTTTGCTATGTTGAGCTAATAATTTGGGTTGTGTGTCTTCTGAGAACTTGTAGTTTACATTGTAAGGTTCAATTTGGTGTATTATTTGGACAATTTGGATAACTCTACAAATTGTTATGATTTTTCAAATAAACAGTGGCAGCAAATGCATTTGTTCAAACAAAACCTAGCAGTTTCATGCAATTATCTTCCGGGGCTGTTACTGCTGTGTTAGGTCGATAATTTGGGGTTGGTTTGTAAATTGAACTTGTAGATGAAGTTGTTATCTTTAATTTGATATATAGTTTAGGCTATTCGGATAAGTATGGTGATCGTAGTGATTGTTAGAATTAGCCCGGCAAGAAATTCTTAATAAATGTTTCAAGAAATTGACTAAGTGATATAGTGGAATAATACGGTTATATTAGAATCTTGTTAAGTGATGAATATTTGTACAGGTATCGACCGTACTAAAGCTCTCACTCAAGGCTTGAGCATGGCTTGAGTGTAAGGATATTTATTTATAGCACCTTGCACTGGACTTCAGGTGAGGATCCCTATCCCTTGCCTATTCTTTCTGGGAAACAGGATATATGCCGAGCAATCGTATCGTTCGGTTTATTATTGTTATTACTCGTTTTTTAAATTCAATATATATTTATTGTCGCCTATCTTGTGAACTAATTTGATTTCCGAGAATTGTTGATTCTTGAGCTATTGCAATCTTTGATCGATTCGAAATCCTTTTTCCTGGAACTTAATAAGTTCTCATCTTGATTCGGGAATTATTCCAATAATTTATTTTCTCGATTCCTTGACTACTCAATTGAGTTCATTTATCGACCTTGAATAATTCAACGAGTTTCAATCTGATTCTCTATCAATTTTAAGTCGTTTCACATGTATACTAGTTGGAACCACTTCTATTATGATTCATTAAATCATTTGATTTGTTTCTACAGGGGTTCAATGAATGTAAATCGTTCAATGACTGGACGAGGTGGGGTTCAATGAATGTAAATCGTTCAATGACTGGACGAGGTAAGTAGCTACTTATGCAAGAGCCCAGATACATTATTGAATTATGAGTGCTACTAAGTGACAAATGATTGAAATTGATTCTATCATATGATTTCTTATTTTCTAATTGAATTTTTTTTTTCCCTTCCTCAGGTTGGACTTTTTGATGAAGTGAAAGAACGTTATCGTGGAAGTCATATTTGTTGTCGCTTAACAATTTATGAAGTGGAATTTATTATGGAATAATTATAGTAATCTTTCTTATTATTTGGAATGATTGATTTATTATTGAATTTTTGTATGATAGATTGAAATTATAATATTCACATTTGATTGATAATATGTAAATTTGCAATCTTTAGTTTTATTTTAATTTTTTTTACAGCCACTGTTGCAAATAAAAATTAATGTTTTATGCAATCAATTAATTATTGATCTGAATTGGTCAGTAAATTTAATAATTGTCGAAACCATGTAAAAACTATTGCAACCAATAATATGGTCACTATATGTATATATTTTAGCAACCAACAGATATATTATTTATCAACCAACATATACTGTCACTATATGTATATTATGTAGCAACCAAAAAATGTGGTGGCCAAATATATATATCCTATAGCAACAATAAAATATGGTCACTATACGTATATATCATTTAGCGACCAAAATTATATGGCCACTATATATGTTGCTATAGCAACCATGTTAATATTATTGCCACCATAAAATTTACATTAGCGAGTCAAAAACTGGTCGTTAATAATTATATTTTTAGTGACCATTATTAGTTCGCCGCTAAATCTTATCTTTTAGCGTCCAATTAATTTTCTTGTCACTGAGTACTTTTAGTAACTACCCTGTTGTGACCTCTGGTGACCAAGCTTATTTTGGTCGCTAGAAGTTTTAGCTACCATTTTCTAACTTTTAGCGACCATACATAATCGTCACTAAAACCAATATTTCTTGTAGTGGTTGTTGCGAATGCACTTTTGCGCATGTTTTTTTACATGTACATTTGTGCATGTCCATTTCAGCGAGTGTGTTTCTGCATGTTTGTTGATTTGTATTAATGTCCTAGGATTGTAGTTTGCGTTTTCATGATCCTTTTTGCGAATGCAGTTTTGCGTGAGTAATTTTGTGCATGACTTTGTACTTTTACATATGTGCGTATCTTTTTTAGCGAGTGTTTTTGTGCACGTTTCTTGATGCGCATTCGTGTCCCCGAACTGTAGCGGGTATTTTCATGATCGCTGTTGGAATCCAATTTTGACCATGTTCGGGTCCGAATTTGGAAATTTGACATTAGACAGGAATTGTAACCAGCTCAAATAGCTTTCTAATGCCGCCGGAACCAGTCGATTTGGAGTCCTGATGAGAAAGTTATGCTCGACTTCGTGGACGCTACCGAAGATGTTGAGGGATCCTCTCTTCTATTTTGATTTCATTTTCCTAATTGCAACTCTTTTCTAACTCTTTGATCATTTTTGCTTCATGGACACCTAATTATCAATTTGTACCTATAGAATACTAAATCCACCAATAAAAACAGCAATATAAATTAATCCATAAAAAAATCGACGTAAACGTAAACGTTGAGTGTTATTTCTACACTCCACTACATCTTTTGTATCTTGTGTTTTTGCTGTTGTTTGGTTATGCGTATTAAAGTCCTCGTGTTGTACTTCGTGTTTTTAAGAACGTTGTTGCGAATGCACTTTTGAGTGTTATCTTTTGTATCTTGTGTTTTTGCTGTTGTTTGGTTATGCGTATTAAAGTCCTCGTGTTGTACTTCGTGTTTTTAAGAACGTTGTTGCGAATGCACTTTTGCGCATGTTTTTTTACATGTACATTTGTGCATGTCCATTTGAGCGAGTGTGTTTGTGCATGTTTGTTGATTTGTATTAGTGTCCTAGGATTGTAGTTTGCGTTTTCATGATCCTTTTTGCGAATGCAGTTTTGCGTGAGTAATTTTGTGCATGACTTTGTACTTTTACTTATGTGCGTATCTTTTGTAGCGAGTGTTTTTGTGCACGTTTCTTGATGCGCATTCGTGTCCTCGAACTGTAGCGGGTATTTTCATGATCGCTGTTGGAATCCTATTTTGACCGTGTTCGGGTCCGAATTTGGAAATTTGACATTAGACAGGAATTGTAGCCATCTCAAATAGCTTTCTAATGCCGCCGGAACCAGTCGATTTGGAGTCCGGATGAGAAAGTTATGCTCGACTTCGTAGACGCTACCGAAGATGTTGAGGGATCCTCTCTTCTATTTTGATTTCATTTTCCTAATTGCAACTCTTTTCTTACTCTTTGATCAATTTTGCTTCATGGACACCTAATTATCAATTTGTACCTATAGAATAATAAATCCACTAATTAAAACAGCAATATAAATTAATTCATAAAAAAAGCGACGTAAACGTAAACGTTGAGTGTTATTTCTACATTCCACTTGATCTTTTGTATCTTGTGTTTTTGCTGTTGTTTGGTTATGCGTATTAACGTCCTAGTGTTGTAGTTCGTGTTTTTAAGAACGTTATTGCGAATGCACTTTTGCGCATGTTTTTTTACATGTACATTTGTGCATGTCCATTTGAGCGAGTGTGTTTGTGCATGTTTGTTGATTTGTATTAATGTCCTAGGATTGTAGTTTGCGTTTTCATGATCCTCTTTGCGGATGCAGTTTTGCGTGAGTAATTTTGTGCATGACTTTGTACTTTTACTTATGTGCGTATCTTTTGTAGCGAGTGTTTTTGTGCACGTTTCTTGATGCGCATTCGTGTCCTCGAACTGTAGCGGGTATTTTCATGATCGCTGTTGGAATCCAATTTTGACCTTGTTCGGGTCCGAATTTGGAAATTTGACATTAGACAGGAATTGTAGCCAGCTCAAATAGCTTTCTAATGCCGCCGGAACCAGTCGATTTGGAGTCCGGATGAGAAAGTTATGCTCGACTTCGTGGACGCTACCGAAGATGTTGAGGGATCCTCTCTTCTATTTTGATTTTATTTTCCTAATTGCAACTCTTTTCTTACTCTTTGATCATTTTTGCTTCATGGACACCTAATTATCAATTTGTACCTATAGAATACTAAATCCACCAATTAAAAAAGAAATATAAATTAATCCATAAAAAAATCCACGTAAACGTAAACGTTGAGTGTTATTTCTACACTCCACTGTATCTTTTGTATCTTGTGTTTTTGCTGTTGTTTGGTTATGCGTATTAAAGTCCTCGTGTTGTACTTCGTGTTTTTAAGAACGTTGTTGCGAATGCACTTTTGCGCATGTTTTTTTACATGTACATTTGTGCATGTCCATTTGAGCGAGTGTGTTTGTGCATGTTTGTTGATTTGTATTAATGTCCTAGGATTGTAGTTTGCGTTTTCATGATCCTTTTTGCGAATGCAGTTTTGCGTGAGTAATTTTGTGCATGACTTTGTACTTTTACATATGTGCGTATCTTTTGTAGCGAGGGTTTTTGTGCACGTTTCTTGATGCGCATTCGTGTCCCCGAACTGTAGCGGGTATTTTCATGATCGCTGTTGGAATCCAATTTTGACCATGTTCGGGTCCGAATTTGGAAATTTGACATTAGACAGGAATTGTAACCAGCTCAAATAGCTTTCTAATGCCGCCGGAACCAGTCGATTTGGAGTCCTGATGAGAAAGTTATGCTCGACTTCGTGGACGCTACCGAAGATGTTGAGGGATCCTCTCTTCTATTTTGATTTCATTTTCCTAATTGCAACTCTTTTCTTACTCTTTGATCATTTTTGCTTCATGGACACCTAATTATCAATTTGTACATATAGAATACGAAATCCACCAATTAAAAAAGAAATATAAATTAATCCATAAAAAAATCAACGTAAACGTAAACGTTAAGTGTTATTTCTACACTCCACTGTATCTTTTGTATCTTGTGTTTTTGCTGTTGTTTGGTTATGCGTATTAAAGTACTCGTCTTGTACTTCGTGTTTTTAATAACGTTGTTGCGAATGCACTTTTGCGCATGTTTTTTTACATGTACATTTGTGCATGTCCATTTCAGCGAGTGTGTTTGTGCATGTTTGTTGATTTGTATTAATGTCCTAGGATTGTAGTTTGCATTTTCATGATCCTTTTTGCGAATGCAGTTTTGCGTGAGTAATTTTGTGCATGACTTTGTACTTTTACATATGTGCGTATCTTTTTTAGCGAGTGTTTTTGTGCACGTTTCTTGATGCGCATTCGTGTCCCCGAACTGTAGCGGGTATTTTCATGATCGCTGTTGGAATCCAATTTTGACCATGTTCGGGTCCGAATTTGGAAATTTGACATTTGACAGGAATTGTAGCCAGCTCAAATAGCTTTCTAATGCCGCCGGAACCAGTCGATTTGGAGTCCTGATGAGAAAGTTATGCTCGACTTCGTGGACGCTACCGAAGATGTTGAGGGATCCTCACTTCTATATTGATTTCATTTTCCTAATTGCAACTCTTTTCTTACTCTTTGATCATTTTTGCTTCATGGACACCTAATTATCAATTTGTACCTATAGAATACGAAATCCACCAATTTAAAAAGAAATATAAATTAATCCTTAAAAAAATCAACGTAAACGTAAACGTTAAGTGTTATTTCTACACTCCACTGTATCTTTTGTATCTTGTGTTTTTGCTGTTGTTTGGTTATGCGTATTAAAGTACTCGTCTTGTACTTCGTGTTTTTAATAACGTTGTTGCGAATGCACTTTTGCGCATGTTTTTTTACATGTACATTTGTGCATGTCCATTTCAGCGAGTGTGTTTGTGCATGTTTGTTGATTTGTATTAATGTCCTAGGATTGTAGTTTGCGTTTTCATGATCCTTTTTGCGAATGCAGTTTTGCGTGAGTAATTTTGTGCATGACTTTGTACTTTTACATATGTGCGTATCTTTTTTAGCGAGTGTTTTTGTGCACGTTTCTTGATGCGCATTCGTGTCCCCGAACTGTAGCGGGTATTTTCATGATCGCTGTTGGAATCCAATTTTGACCATGTTCGGGTCCGAATTTGGAAATTTGACATTAGACAGGAATTGTAACCAGCTCAAATAGCTTTCTAATGCCGCCGGAACCAGTCGATTTGGAGTCCGGATGAGAAAGTTATGCTCGACTTCGTGGACGCTAC